GCATGCACCGATTCTCCCCCTGATGTTTCACAGTAGCCTTACCTGAACTCTTTTTATGTCTTTTCTTTGAAATGGCTCAAGATGTTGAACCCAAGAAGAAAGCTCAGCCAACTCGGCTGGAGCTTGGCTGTTATTAAGACAGTGTGGTAGGAGAGCATATTCAGTGTCAACGTGATGAGCACCAGGTGACAAAAGGAGTTTGAGTGAAAAATTACTGCTTGTATTAAAAGTGGCTATGCTACTTGAAGGATTCCTAGAGAAGTAACTTTTCGAGATCCTGACAACAACACTTCATGGCCCTTCTTGCCTCTCCGATGTACTTGCGGCTTCTGGCAGTTTCCAGTGTTGAATGTCATGGCTCTTTATAGAACAGATTGCGTAAGGAATAAAAAGTGGCTAGCTTATGTAGCAGCTCCCATTGCTGCCTGCTTCAGATCAGTTTGAGCTCTAACAGCTTCCAGGTGATTCTGTTCACTTCCCTGCTGTGAGAGGCTAGACCAGTGGTTCTTAACCTTTGTTACTCAGATGTTTTTGGACGGCAACTCCCAGAAGCCTTCACAATCAGCTCTGCTGACTGGGGTTTCTGGGAGTTGCAGTTCAAAAGCATCCGAGTAACAAAGGTTAAGAACCACTGGGCTAGACTATCTGAAGGAGGACTCTAACTAACTCATCTTCCCCTCCCCCAGTCCCTATATATGTATTTATTTATTTATTTATCATCACAGTCATTCATATGCTTTACCTTCAGTGCGATCAAGGTGCCATACATGCTCTCTGTTTTTCCCCCATAAGAGCCCTGTGAGATAGAAAACTGGGGGGAGATATGATAGTACTTTTCAAATACTGTACATACTTGAAAGGTAAACACACAGAGGAGGGGCAGGATCTGTTCTTGGTCACCTCAGAGTGCAGGACACATAATAATAGGCTCAAGTTACAGGAAGCCAAATTTAGACTGATATCAGGAAAAACTTCTTAACTGTTAGAGCACTATGGCAATTGTACCAATTACCTTAGGAGATGATGAGCACTCCACCACTGGAGATATTCAAGAGACAATTGAATAACCATTTGTAAGATCTGTTTTGATTTGGATTCCTGCATTAGCAGGTGGTTGGACTCAAAGGCCTTATAGGCTGTTTCAAATTCCATTATTCTTTGATTCTGTAGGGCAGCTGGCAAAGGGACTAGCAAGTTGTGAATTGAGTTAATGTGAGTTGAGTTAATGAACTGAACGTGGTCTTTTGGCAAGACTGTAAGAGGGAGCTGGAGTGTTCTGTTTCAGATAGTGACAGAGAGACTTGGTGGTTGTCCTGGGAACTCAGAATTTGCAAACATTATTTTCCTGGACTACAACTTGGCTGAGGTGTTGTCGTCCAAAAAAGTAGCATCTCCAAGCTGGTTCTGAATGCTGATAGCAGAATGAAAATGTAGAGTCATGCACTATGGCATAGATTAATGGTTCCGAACCATGGGTAACTCAGGTGTTCTTGAACTGCCGTTCCCATATATCCTGGCCAGCACAACTGGTGGTGAAGGCTCCTGGGAATTGCAGTCCAAGAAAAATCTGGTTACCCAAGGATGAGGACTACTGCCACAGATGTCTTGTGACTGGAGTGGCATAGCCTCGCCTG